TATGTTGCTAAAAGCAAAGGTTGTCAAATGATGTTGAGAGGCTGCAACTATCATGTGCATGGAATGGAAACTTGACACCATGTTAATCTGAGTGAGCTTCATGAGTGAATCCATTAATAAATACCATTTGATTAATTGGACCAGCATCCAAGGGAGGAGAGGGACTATACAAATAGACATCAGACTCGATTTTATTTTTTCACAACACGTATTATCATCTGTCACAACTTATTTAGTAAGAAACGTGTCTCTGAGAACTGTCCTTAANGTGAATCCATTAATAAATACCATTTGATTAATTGGACCAGCATCCAAGGGAGGAGAGAGACTATAGATTGGGAGACGTAATAGATGTTTCTTTTTTGGGCTGCACGTACAAAGATACAAATAGACATCAGACTCGATTTTATTTTTTCACAACACGCATTCTCATCTGTCACAACTTATTTAGTAAGAAACGTGTCTCTGAGAACTGTCCTCAGTCCCCCAAACTAACTTACTCGTGGGTCGAGATGCCATTGAAGTGTTGATACAAAAGAAAATATCTATTGACTCAGAAACATTATTATTATGCCCCTAGAAGAAAGGAATGAAGAAGAGGGGAACCGTCAATGTTGTTAGAGGGAGGAGGCTCTGGCATGATAATTCCACACCTCTTAAGGGTTGGCAATCCTTGTTGATCTAATCCAACTAAAGTCCCATGACCAACAGCTGAGCTCANCGAGATGCCATTGAAGTGTTGATACAAAAGAAAATATCTATTGACTCAGAAACATTATTATTATGCCCCTAGAAGAAAGGAATGAAGAAGAGGGGAACCGTCAATGTTGTTAGAGGGAGGAGGCTCTGGCATGATAATTCCACACCTCTTAAGGGTTAGCAATCCTTGTTGATCTAATCCAACTAAAGTCCCATGACCAACAGCTGAGCTCAAGAGAATATTTAACACAAACTTAGACACCCTATGACAAAAGAAAATGTGTAGGCTGAGATTGTGGGCACTAGCAAAACTAGACCTTTCATTCTTAATTACCTCACTAGTTCCACGTGCAGCTCGTTAGATTGGTTTGGGCCGTGAGGTTGGGTTGGTTCCTTTTCTTTTCTTGGGTTAAAGTTACTCGCAACTTTCTGCCATGTACTCGGGCGAATCTGGATGGACAAAATCTCCAACGTCAACTAATGTAATAAGAGAGATTTTTCGACACGTTGCAAGAGCAATCCTGAGTAACACTTGGATCCATTACTATGGTTACACCATTTCCCTCACCTCTCCCCCAACCCTCGGCCCAAAATTAAAATTTGTACCCACGACTATTCCTACCAAAAAGGCCAAAAGCTCAGACATTAAGCCCTAAATCATGTAGGCATCTATAGCTAGGATTAATAATCGATCCAAACTACTCAAGTTCAATTTGTATAAAACTTAACACGAACTAAACACTTGTTCTAAATCAATAGAATTTGAACAATTTTTTAAAATCGTATTTTAGAAGACTTAAAAATTCAACTTATTTATATATAAAAAAATCAAACTACTCAAGTTTAAATCGGTTTAAGTTCAACTCGTTCAGAAAAATAAACTCAACAAACTTGATTCAAACTCACAAAAATTCAATTCGATTATGAACCTTATTAATAACCCACAAGCAAAAAAGTATCAACAAAAACTCATCACAAACGCAGGACTCAAAAAGGCCAAGGGCCTATTTGGTTAACATATGGAAAACAATTTTTTGTTTTCAAAATTTTAAAAATACCTAAAACCTATTTATTTAACATTTTTATTTTCAAAATTTTCAAAAAAAATTAAATTTGGAACACAAACAAAAAACAAGCTAGGCTTATTTTCGGACAACTTTCTTGAAAATTTTGAAAACACAGAGAAATCACTGCTCATTTCTAATGAAGTCACTCCTTTGATCTTCCTTAGCAAATATTGCTTCCCCCCCCCCCTTTTTTTTTTCTCAAGCCTTCCCCTTTCTCTCACTCCACTTTGGGAAACCAGAGAAACAAACTGTGTGGGGTGATCTCCAGCATTTCTCTCTCTCTCTTTCCAACGATCTCAAGGCATCAGGCTCCAATGTCAATTTGGGCTCAAATCTAAGTAAATCTTCTTCAGATCTGAACGATGTGTGTGTATTGTGTGACTGTGTGTGTGCATATATATATATATATAAGGTTGAATTGGCAATTAGTTATATATATAAATCAAATCATATCAAATTTTGTGGGTGGTAATTAGTTCTCGATTTGGGTGGTGGTCTTGGTGGTGGGTATTAGGTGGTTCTCAATGTGGGTTGGTGGTCTTGGTAGTGAGTGGTTCTCGGCTTGGGTGATAGTCTTGATGGTGGGTGTTGGATGGTTCTGAGTGTGAGTTGGTGGTGATTGTGTATTGTGGGTTGATAGTGGTTGTGAGTGTTGAGTTGACAGTGGTTCTCAGNTCAATGTGGGTTGGTGGTCTTGGTAGTGAGTGGTTCTCGGCTTGGGTGATAGTCTTGATGGTGGGTGTTGGATGGTTCTCAGTGTGAGTTGGTGGTAATTGTGTGTTGTGGGTTGATAGTGGTTGTGAGTGTTGAGTTGATGGTGGTTCTCAANGTGGGTGTTGGATGGTTCTGAGTGTGAGTTGGTGGTGATTGTGTATTGTGGGTTGATAGTGGTTGTGAGTGTTGAGTTGACAGTGGTTCTCAGTTGTGGGTGTTAGGTGATACACAATAAATGAAAGAGAGACAAAGTTGAAGGAAAGTAAAAATTGTGAATTATAATTCCAACAAATTTTATATTTTTTGTTCTTTAAAACTATTTTCAAAAATATATAATCTAACAAATTTTATAATCTAAAAAAATTTTAAAAACACTTTTTTAAAATTTTTCTCAAAAATAATTTTCACCAAGCCCAAACTTCTTTAAAGTGTGGGTTCCCCCAAAACTGGTTCAAACCACAAAGACACATGATTGCTGAACATCATAATAAATTGAATTTTAAATAATGAAACAACACATTTTTGGCATCGAATNTATAATCTAAAAAAATTTTAAAAACACTTTTTTAAAATTTTTCTCAAAAATAATTTTTAAATACTATTTTTTAAGATACAAGCCCAAACTTCTTTAAATTGTGGGTTCCCCCAAAACTGGTTCAAACCACAAAGACACATGATTGCTGAACATCATAGTAAATTGAATTTTAAATAATGAAACAACACATTTTTGGCATCGAATGCGGAAAGGAATTCCGACATCAAAACTGTTTCGAAAATAGAACCTATAGCAACCGTGCGATTCTACATCATGACCACCTAATGTAACCACTTCAAAAATAACCTCTAGAATTTGTATTCAGAGGAACAATTTTATTAACTGTGAAGCCCCACGAAGCATCAGAATCAAATTAGTTAGGGCATACTTTCAATTGAGATTTTACAGCTACTAAGCTCNACCACTTCAAAAATAACCTCTAGAATTTGTATTCAGAGGAACAATTTTATTAACTGTAAAGCCCCACGAAGCATCAGAATCAAATTAGTTAGGGCATACTTTCAATTGAGATTTTACAGCTACTAAGCTAAGATTCTTCAGCTACGCAAGCAAAGCAGCAAAAGTCAAACTCTTGCTTCTCAATTATCAATCTTATTTGCAAATGGGAATTATTGAGAACAAGTACAAACATATGATTAGGCCAACAGATAAAGATAAAATACCTAATCTCAACTGAAAGTTTGACATTTAATCTTTAGACAGAAAAGGCAATAAGCCAAAGGGCAATAAACCAAATATGGGCAACACAAACAAAGACTATATACTGAAACCACTGCCCCAAACAAACAAAGACCGCGGAAAAATACATTCACAGCAGAGAATGGACTCCAACTAAGTCTCATGCCAAGGAGGTATGGGGAGGCAGATAATTGGCATCCAAACAGTGAAAAGAACCTTTAACAGAATAGTCCAGAAGAAAATATTCAAACCACATCCAACCCAACAAAAAACTGAACCGAATACAAAGAACCCATTAGATGTTGGCTTCAGGCAACATCAAAATGGATGAAACAAAAACTCAGGTAACAAGAGGAGACTTCTTTTTTGTGTGGAGCACCTTTCCATGCCACCAATGGCAAATGATCTAGTTCCTAAGANCAGAATAGTCCAGAAGAAAATATTCAAACCACATCCAACCCAACAAAAAACTGAACCAAATACAAAGAACCCATTAGATGTTGGCTTCAGGCAACATCAAAATGGATGAAACAAAATAAACTCAGATAACAAGAGGAGACTTCTTTTTTGTGTGGAGCACCTTTCCATGCCACCTATGGCAAATGATCTAGTTCCTAAGTTGGAAGATTCATCTGTNTGGATGAAACAAAAACTCAGGTAACAAGAGGAGACTTCTTTTTTGTGTGGAGCACCTTTCCATGCCACCAATGGCAAATGATCTAGTTCCTAAGATGGAAGATTCATCTACAAGTTCAAACCAAAGGTTCAATTCAAAACCAGGACTCATCCCAAAGGCAAGGTCAAGGTTCAATACAACACAATTGGGTTATTGTTCCATTTCACAACACAAAGAAACAAAACTACCTTTTTTAAGGGCGACAAACTTATAACAAAACAATAACAGATTACGACAGGCCACTTGAGAGGGAGTAACATTAAANCATCCCAAAGGCAAGGTCAAGGTTCAATACAACACAATTGGGTTATTGTTCCATTTCACAACACAAAAACAAAACTACCTTTTTTAAGGGCGACAAACTTATTACAAAACAATAACAGATTACGACAGGCCACTTGAGAGGGAGTAACATGAAGCTCAAAATTGGATGGGAATTCAATATTCCCAAAAAAAAGGGGAAATTGATCTTCATAACAATTAAATAAGAATTTATATTTGTGCCAAAAGGAAAAAAAAAAAAAAAAAACTTTTCTCTTGAATGGAATTAAACAATTCCTTTGTTTGCAACTGAATGAGCCATTGTTAAAGGTTCTAAAGATATATAGTATACTGCCACTGTTGGATCCACTACAATTTGGAAAATACTATGTTGCACAAATATGGTGAAAATAAAAAAATAAGAACTCAGCACCTACTAGGATGATAAAAATTTCCACAACATTAATTTGTTTCAAAGACAACAACCACAACACTAGCAACAGTCACATAATCAAATCGAGGAAAAAACAAGAAATACTAACCAAATTATAATTAAGCATAATGAAGAGGAACCAAGTACATGACCATATAAGCTTCAAGCATCTCCTGAAACTAATTCCATTCTTTTAGCTACTCAAGAAAAAAGACAACTATTTATCAAGGATAAACTAATCCACAGAGGATAGTCTTCATATTCTAGAGAATCTAAACATTCACTCATCATCATCCTCATCCTGCAAGAAAAAAAATACATATAGTAGTCTTAGAATATATTAAGTACATAAAATAATTGAATGCCATGCTTATTTTGATATTATCAGTGTTTACCTCTCCACTGCCCTCCTCATCGTCCTCATCATCATCATTCACCTCAGACCTCGATTTTTCAGACTCATCTTCACCAGATGCATTTCCACCATCCGCCTGTGGAACAAATTTGAAATTTAAAAAGATAAATGAGACAAACCACACAGAAAATCATCATCAGCCAAATTTCCATTCAAATTGCAAACTTTATTACCATTTTCTTATTGTAAGCCACCATGTTNCCACACAGAAAATCATCATCAGCCAAATTTCCATTCAAATTGCAAACTTTATTACCATTTTCTTATTGTAAGCCACCATGTTCTTCTCGTATTCAACTTTTCTTTTCTCTGCCTTTGCTACATACGGAGCTTTCTCCTAAGTTTTTTCAAAAAAAATAAAAACAGTAATTGTAGCTCATTAGCACACAATGTTATGATTAAGAATTGTTCATGTCACACAACGATAAAATAAACAGAACTGAATAATTTTAAATTTTTTGAAATTCTTACAGCTTCTGAGAGCGATTTCCACTTGTCTCCACCAGCTTTACCGACCTAAAAGACAGCAAACGGTATATTCATAATGTTCCAAGTTTCGAAAATATAAAAGAAATCAAAAGTCAAATAGTTAAATCGAAAATTTATGAAGCTTTCGGATGTGAGACATCACGAAATACTTACAACGGAGACGGATTTGTTGTTCGGATGCTTCTCTTTGTATTGCTTCCTGAAATCCTCCCTTAATTTGTCAAAATCACAAACAACAAATCAGAGAAGTCAGCACGCACGCACACATGTATATGCCTAGATCCAATACAAAAAGGAAACATAATAAGAACATCAAAGAATTCATACATGAAAACGAAGAAGGCACTAGCAGGCCTCTTTGGCATATTAGGATCCTTAGCGGACTTAGCCTTCTTAGTCGATGGCTTGCTTGCCGCCGGCGCGCCTCTCTTCTTCACAGAGAGCCTAAAAAAATCCAGGAGATCAGTCCTCGTCGTGGATTAAAACGAATCAAACATCAAACTTAAACACAGAAGATCATAGATCTGAAACTGTATTATCTCAAAATATACTCAAACACGAAGAAAGAAACTAAAACTCACTTGCTATCAGCTTTTTTCGATTCGGTCTTTGATCTACTTCCTTTCATGGCGAATCCTGCGACAAAAATATGAAAACCGGTGAGAATCGGTCGAGAATCGTTCAGAACCGGTTTGACTCGGCCGAGTTAGCGCCGCTTACCTCTAGGGTTGAGGCAGAGAGACGAAGAGAGAAAATAAGTGATATGCTTTGCTTTGGTGTGGTGTAGCGTAGTGTTGCGTTGCGTTGTGTTGTGTAGTGTTATGTGTGGTGAGGTGCAAAAGGGTAAGAGAGGGAGAGGGAAAGAGAAAGAGATAAGAAGAGGTTTGGGAAAATTAAAATTGAATCGCAGAATGAATTGAAGTCCGGGTTTGGGCGGGATTTCAAAAATTCTTCTGCCATGTCATCGATCCTGGTGCTTCCTCTCTATTCGCGCATTTCTTTATGGTTCCATTCATTCCACTTCCTTGTGTTTTCTCTGTGCTTCTTATAAATGATCTCCACCCTTTGTATCTAGTTTTCTGAACAGTATAAGACACGTGTCATAATCTGGTTGTAGGAGTATTTGACCGACCAAACCACACGTGTTAATGTGTCATGCTTTATCGTTGTAAATGACAAACTTGACCTTATTATAAAGACGGTTCGAGGCCGAGGGTGGGGAATTTTAATCTAAGGACAATTGAGTAAATTTGCTGTTCTAATTGTTCTTCTATTTAATAGTGACTAGTTGATTACTATTTAGTATTATAGTTTTGATTTTAATTTTTTCATATTTATTTTATTGATCCATTTGCTAAAGACTAGAGCATTTGAATGCAAACTTGAGACGTGGTTTAATTAAACAAAACAAATGTTAGAAATGAGAAAAATAAACAATGCACTTTTAGAGCTCCACTATCAATATAATAAAGTATAATATAATTTAAATTTTAATAGATAAACAAAATTATTTTTACTTTTTGAGTTAAAATCTCTTTAAATTTTATTTTAAAGTTAATCAGACAACTAATATTAACACCTCAAATTTAATAAAAAAAATAGGGTCTTAAGAGCATATTTGGGGCAACTATTTATAAAATTTATAACTTCTCTTAAGTACTTAAAAAAAAATAGTTTTTGAAACTACCCTGCCACCACCGCCCCACCACCATCACCATTGTCACTCCACCATCATAACTACCTCCACCCCCCACCCCCATCGTCCCACCATCATCACTACCACCACCATTACCGTTGTCACCACCACCTCAACCTCAACAACCACCAACATTGTTGTCACCCCATCACCACCACAACTCCATCACCACCTCAACTTCAACAATCATCACCATTGTTGTCACCTCATTACCACCACCACACTCACCGTCCCACCACCATCATCACCACTACCACCACCCCCATCGCCCCACACCCATCACCACCATCACTGTTACCACCTCACCACCGTTGCCACCCCCAACAACCACCGTCGCCACCTTACCACCATCATCGCTGTTCCACCATCACCCCCATCCCACCATCACCATTGTCACTCACAACTACCATCATCATAATCAATCATCGTCACCCACAACAACCATCACTATCTCTTACAACCACCACGACTGTCCACGACCACTACCATCGCTTGGACCCACTACAATCTATGGTTAAATTTCTTTTGTTCTCATCTATCTTTGTAATTTGATTTTGCGTGTAAATACAAATATGATTATTGTCGACCAGTTTTTTATTATTTCGTGCTTTCAGACAAGAAAAATAACTTGTTTACTCGTAAAATACATATTTCTTTCATTGAACTAAATTTATCTCACTCTTGACAGGTCAAATCCTTAAACAAAGTTGTTTCCTCCTAAGTTAACATGCTAAACATTTTGTTGATCATCTATCTCCAACTTAACCTCACACGAAATCATTTTCCTAGCCACGTATAGTTAGTTACCTCTCAGGCAACATCTTAAACATATGTAATCACACATTCATAATCATGAATGGGATTCCAAATGCTTGTTTACTACTGAAGAACTAACATTATGTTATAATAGTGATGACAACCCTTGTACCAAAAAAAAAAAAATAGTAAGTACATTTTCAAGATACTCGATACTTTATACATTTTTTTAATAATATATAACAGTATGATAGAAGTGATCTATCCCAAAAATGTTCACCATATTTGACTAATTACCAAAAAAATACAGCATCTATTTACAACATCAATACATAATATAAAATAGATCGCCAATTTACTATTCCAAAGAAAAGAATGAATCGAGTTTATAACGATCTTCAAAGGATATGTAAAATCTCCTAAGCAAAAGTATATACCTACAAACTTATCTTGATTTCAACAATTCGAAATGATATACTTGTTTTTATTAGCTTTGCAATCTTGAATAAGAGAAACCCTAAGAAATAACTTGACAATTCAAGGCAAGATGCAGAGTACTGGATCAAACCTATGAAACTCAAAAATTGAAGTTAAAAAAAAAAAGGGGGAAATATTGAATTAAATAAAATAAAAAAATAAGTAAATAAAGATGAAGCGGAAGACAACAAAAATACATGCAACAAATAAAGATCATGGTGTACAGGAAAGCAGCAACACTTCAATCAAAGATCAATATAATGAATCTTATGTCTATCACCAAATCATAAGGCAAGTTAGAAAACCCATGGTTAAGGCTCTGCACCCTGTTGAAGCAATGAAAAATAAATTTATTTTTTCTACTTTGTTAGAGACAACCTTCTTGAATTATATAAAAAATTCAAGTTCCAAATTCGATCCGTTTACTCGACGGTTTTTAAAATTTTAATCCTTATCCGTATCTATTAATAATTGGGTATCTGATCCGATCTGAAAATTTAAATCTCAACTTTTTTTTTATCCGTATTTGTTAATAATCGGGTATTTGATTCGACCTGAAAAATTGAATCCCAACTTTGTTTTTATAAAAGTTAATAATTTTATNGAAAAATAAATTTATTTTTTCTACTTTGTTAGAGACAACCTTCTTGAATTATATAAAAAATTCAAGTTCCAAATTCGATCCGTTTACTCGACGGTTTTTAAAATTTTAATCCTTATCCGTATCTATTAATAATTGGGTATCTGATCCGATCTGAAAATTTAAATCTCAACTTTTTTTTTATCCGTATTTGTTAATAATCGGGTATTTGATTCGACTTGAAAAATTGAATCCCAACTTTGTTTTTATAAAAGTTAATAATTTTATCATATTTAAGATAACTTTCAACATAATTTGATCAACCAATCATTCTATTCAGTAATTTTTATTTAATTTCTTGTCAATCTCATTAATAATCTAACTATGTATGTATATGCAATAGCTTCTGATANTCAACCAATCATTCTATTCAGTAATTTTTATTTAATTTCTTGTCAATCTCATTAATAGTCTAAATATGTATGTATATGCAATAGCTTCTGATAGACTTTATCTTTATGCACAAAGTTCTCACGAATTGCAAGGTTTTTCAGACACCGATTGGGGTAGGAAACAGAAATGATAGGCGATTTGTTGGTGCCTATTGTGTTTTCCATGGCCAAAACTTGATTACTTAGAGTTGTAAGCAACAACTCACTGTTGCACAAAGCAGTACAGAGGCTGAATACAAGTCTCTGTCAAATACTACAGTAGAAATTCAGTGGCTTCAATCAATTCTTATTGATCTTGGTTTACCAATTCAGCATCCACCAAAACTTTGGTGTGACAATATTGGTGCAACTTACTTAAGTTTTAATTCGGTGTTCCATGCAAGAACAAAACACATAGAAATAGATTTTCACTTTGTGCGTGATCAAGTTCTTCAAAAGAAGTTACAGGTGTGCTTTCTATCATCCAAAGAACAACTAGATGATCTGTTAACCAAGCCCATAAGTTCAGTTTGTTTTCAACTACTCAAGAACAATCTTCATGTCCAAAAACTTCCCATTCAATTGTGGGGGCATATTGAAGCAGATATTTTCAGTATAACTAAGTCTACTACACAACAAGAGGATGAACCTGATCCTTATAAACTCTAGCTATCATATCCTTTTGAATGTTGAGTTGTAGAATTATTCAAACTCTATCAGCTGAGATATTGTAGGACAATTAGACTTTCATTGTTATAAATTTTACATGTTGTGTATATTCTAAAACAATAAAAAAATAGAGAGTTCTAATTCAAAACTCTACTGCAAGAAGAGGTATTATTATATTCTATCTCAAATGTATTATTATATACATTTATTATTATAACCTTATAACTGATAAAATTAAGCTGTCGTAAATATAACAAACATTGATTGAGAATATTTTTGTTAATTTAACATTAATATCATAGAATAATCTCCTAACCAAACAATCGATAATATTAAATAACTATCATCCAACGCGTATAATGTGTATTGCTAAATACTAGATAAAATTATATATTATTTTAATACCTTATTTAATCTTGTCTTTTTTATTTATCTGTATTGTATTAAATTACTAATTATTTTCCGTGCCTAAACACATGAACTAATAAAAAAAAATTGTCAATAATAAACATATTTGTATTCACATCTAAAATCAAACTACAAAGACAGAGAAAAAATAAATGAATTTAAATATCGGTTATAGTGGGCGAGCGAGCTGTGGTAGTGATGGTGAGCGGGCAGTGATAATGGTGGAATACGGTGATAGCTTTGATAGATAATGACAATCGGTTGTAATGGTGACAATTATAATTGACAATAGTGATGGTGGTTGTAGGGCAGTGGGGGTGATGTGGTAGGGGTGATGGTGGGATAGTGACAGTGGTGGTAGTGGTGATTGTGGTGGGGCGGTGGAGCTGGTGATGATAGAGGTGTTGATATGACAGTTTCCAATCACTATTTGTTTTTTAAATACTTATAAGAAGTTATAAGTATTAAAAATATTTTTAAAAAGTCACTCAAAATACACCCGTAAGCCCCTATTTTTCATATTAAATTTGGAGTGTTAATATTAGCCGTCAAATTAACTTTAAAATAAAATTTAAAGACATTTCTATCGCAAATAACAAAATTTATTTTGTTTATCTTTTGAAATTTGAATATTATTTTATTTTATTATATAAATATTATTTTATCTAATCTATTCATTTTTAATACAACAACCAAATGAGCCCTTAATGTAATATAAATTCACTTTTTTCATTGATAAAATATGTCATTTTGAATAAACTTTTTAGGCATAAAATCACCATTTCAAGTAACGATTTTAAAAAATGCAGAAATTTTAGAAAATAAGTTTCAAATTGCATTCTTTTGAAAATTAAAATTTGCCCAAAGCATGGTCGTATATGTCTTGGATAAGTATGATTAGTCTGGTGTCGGGCCCCCAGGGCCTCATCTTATGCTCTTATTGGGCTTGATGATTGATCCGGGACAATTATGGGCTAATAGTTGA